GAGAGAGAGAGAGAGAGAGAGAGAGAGATGGGGAGTGGTGGTCAATATGTATACATGTATCTCTTATCGAGTATGTTCGTGGGTCTATTAGATTTTTATGGGGCTCGTTTCAAGTGGACCAATATACTCCATGGAGATTTATCACCCCCCCCCCCCCTTTCCCTTCTTTTTCCCATTCACATACTAGAACAAAAAAAGGAAATACTCTTTTTAATCTAAAAGAGAACAAGAAAAGCGAGAGCAGCTATTCTTATATGTTACTTTATACGAATCCATTTTAAAAGAAATCAAACATCGACAAAAAGGCCACAAAGTTTCTAAGCAATACATTCCAGGTGGGTGATATTTTTAAATAGCAACAGAAATTTAACTACACTATTAATAGTCTGGATGAATATCGGTAACGTTGCCGACAGACTGTATAATGCCTTACACTACATAAAAGAGAATTTAAAAACAAAAAGGTATATAATAAGCGTACGCAAAAATACGGGCATGCGCGCGTGTACAATAAACAAGGAAGTGAATTAAGTGCATTTAAATAACAAAAATTAAAGATAGTCAGAAAATTAATACTTCTATCTCTAGACTACTTACGGGAAGCTGCTATCCACCTGCGTATTTTCTCTACACAGTGAGATTTCTGTTCCTGTGTGTCAAACCCCCCTAAGCCCTCTCTTCCTCCCTCGTCACAGCGACACACGGACGAAAGGGAACTTATTGTGCTAGGCAGGTATCGCTCAGCAAAACTCGACGAGTACTTTGTAAAGTATCAGTACTTGGGAGTTCTCATATGATTACTCTTGTTGGTATCTCGTACTCCTTGTATTTTTAATCGTATTTTTTTACGGTCTTATTGACTCACTTTAGATCATTTAGGAGGCTGGCTGCATTGAGATGCTAGGGCTAACCATCTAGACTGAGTGGGATGTAACATTCTAGCAGACAGGCGGAGGTACTCGATAGAAAACTTCTTCACTCGGAAAATCTTATCACCATTTTATCTTTTATTGTTTGCTTTATCAAAATAACATTTTTTTTAAAAATTGGCAAGTGCCAGTTAACATTATTCCACAATAACACTGGTTAGTTTAGCGGTATCTGCTCTCAACGATATGGCTGAATAATACGCTCTTTTTGTTGTTGTTTTTGTTTTGTGTGTATACATATAAGTGTGTGTGTGTGTGTGTGTGTGTGTGTGTATGTGTGTGTGTACTGCTACTGCTAATGCGACACTACTACTACTACTACTACTACTACTACTACTACTACTACTACTACTACTACTACTACTACTACTACTACTACAGCAGTTGATGAATTGTAATATTGCTACTTCTACTAAAATTACAAGGTGTTCAGAGGATTCGGTATCGACATAACATGCTTCATAATATGACCAGTTCAGTATCGAATCAATACAAAAATTATGACCTGTGTCTTGCACTCCCCACGTAATAAAAGGACATGGGATAGGTAACATTTACCATCCTCTTATGGCATATAATATGTCTACCTGTTCTTTTTCAGGCCCGTTCTGTGTTCAGTCAAGCGATGAACACATCTCGGTTTTACTTACAGGAGTGGGAAAGAGGTCAAAGGGTGCGCTGAGATTTAGTGTAAGTTGAAGTTGAAGAGAAGCATACGGTTTCAATACTTTGATCTTTTCACCGGTTATTACAAGAGTTGGTCAGTACGTTTTGCTGCCTTT